GTACTAGACGTCGACTAACAATGCAAATCAAAGCTCTAACAAGCTCTGAAATAGCTGAAAAATACGACCAACTGCTTGATAAACGGCTAGAACTAGCAGATTTGCAGAAAAAGGAATTGGAAGAGGAATTGTTAATGAGTGAATGTGAAAGAAAGCGAAAGCTTCAATTATTAGGTTTACAAATTGACATAGAAAAGAAAAAACTTAATCTCCTTCGACATTAAACTGGGTGTTTATATTAATTTTTATTGAAAAAACTTAAAAATTAAAACTCCGTACAAGGCCAAAGGCAACGTAAGAAACTTCTTTATAGTGTAACTCACTCTAATAGGTATTAAAAAATACGAATTACTTCCAAAGGTGTATTTTCTTAGTAATTTAAAGCCTAGAAAAATAATAATTTACAAGTTGACTTCTAAAGTTGTTAACTAAAGCTTGGCTGTGTGGTTCTGGTACAGAACTAACAGAAATTAAATAATTTAGCTCCTCATTAATATCTGCAAGCAAAAGAGGATCTTCTTCACCCATATTTTTTGTCATATTATATAGAACTGCAGTTGCCGAAATAATGTGCATTGCGATCTCCAGTTTAATCTCAAGCCATACGCCAAAACGGGAAACCTTCTTTTCCAAACTCCAAAACATCTTTCGATCACGTTTCCTGTTCGGATATGGGATCGTATAGCCTTTCGGCTCTTGTTGCAGGATTAACTAAAGGGGCTAACAAATAGGATCTAAGACCATAGCCACTGTCACCCGTAATAAAAAAATCAAGAAGATATACTAAACGGTCCCTAATCAGCCAAAAAGTGTCGGTTAATATAATCGTTGTTTAGAATACACAAAACAGTGGTTAAGTGACGGTACAACACATTTTTCAAACTAAACGACGATTAAATTTTTAATCACTGTTTAGTCAAACGGTGCAACCGGGCATAAGCACTTTATTGTACTCTTGACATCATTATTGGGACACATTTTGAGCAGCTTCCCCTGTTTGGAACTCGAAAATCTTTGCAAAAAACTCAAAAAACCCTCGATGTGTTTTGCAACAGGGGCAATTGAGTGATGTCCGTTGCGCGTTGCTGTTGGTAACGGGTCGATGGGGCGCTCGTAAAATTTTACGGTCTCTGGAGTGGCGCGACGCTCAGATTGGACGCCGCCACGTCTGCCTCTCCATCGGTCGTAAAAATCAGGGACGTCGGCACATTGCGAAAACCCCACAATTTTCTGTGAAAACTCAATATTGACATGATCGTATTGGAATTGATTTATATTGGAAAAACTGGAGGCGCGTTTGATTGTGCTCGACTTCATTCAGCAGGTTGAGCGGCGTTCGCCTGCAAGGAGTCATTTGGCAAATGGAATTCACTCCCGATAAAAATCTGTCTGCATTGTTGCATAAAGGGCTCAGATACCAGCTGCATTCGTTTTGAAGCGATTTTTCGCGCTGGTTCAGTTCGAGATGCATTTAGTTGGAAAGCAATTTTCTAATAGGATTAAATTTGGGAAAAAAAACGAGGAAGAGCAGGACCGCTGGTTTTTTGTCGGCTGCATTTCGAGTCCGTTAATTATGGCAAAGGAACATCCGCCCAATGTTGCAATTTAATACGGCCATAAAACGGTCATGAGCCGCGGACCGAACCCGATGGGCCGTTTTTGCACGCAAACCGAATTTTAAAGCACCAGCTTTGCCGGTTTTATTTTCGCCAATCGTCCACCATCTCATTCTCGCGTTAACGACCTTTTTGATCGCCGATATTCAGATTCCGATCACCGATTTTGTCCCCAAATATCCGAGGAAAATTATCCAGCTAGAAACGATTTTCGCGGCCTTCTGTGCAAACCCGGCCCTGCTTGAAACAACTGAAGTTGACAGTTGTTTTTTGCCTCTCCAATGACAAGTTTTGAAATTTATTCGACATCCAGCTGACGGCCGATTGTCTTTTGTTCGTCCAAAAAAGCCAGACGACTGCGATTTGGATTTGAAATATTCGCATCGTTTGATGTTCAAATGTCTGGGCTGGTTTTTGTCTCTTGGTTTTTTTTATCCATGGGCTCGCTGATTTTCTAAATATTTAACTGGAATGTCCAGCGCCAACAAACGCAGACGGTTTTCGGGTGATTCGGGTGGGTTTTTTCCGTATCCAATTATGAGAAAGTTTGGCAGAATCGTGCAAGGAATTTTTTTGCCGCTTGTTTTTCGATTTTCGAAGTATTCGGTATTCAAAATGAATTAAAGATGTTTTAAGTTTGTCGTTTACAGCTTTGGAAAACTGCTCTTTTTCTTTGATGCATATTTGGAGAACCGGTTGAGGCCCAAAGATCATTTTTCGAATAGAACATAAGTAGCCCAGAAAATACTTATAGTTTTTCAGGACAATGGCAAAGTGCAGAA